TACTGCCATGACACAAAAAAGAGACTTGACAGATACAAGGACGAAAAAAAGTGTTTCGAATCCAGGTATATAATCTGTTTAAAGTAAAGGAAAATTATAATTATTTTCGGATCTTTACTGTTTTTGTGTGTTGTTTTTCTGTAATGCGTATATAATTTTACATTTTCTGGTTTAATATCAACTGTACATGTAACTGTTTATTTATTACTACCACTAAAATGCTAACGAAAGAGGAACCTAATTATGAGACCTTGAGAAATACAATAGGGAAGATTGAGTGCCTCGACTCATGTTAGTTTGTCTGCACAAAATCATGCTGTCATTCTCCATGTTTTCGATTGAAAATTTGATGTGGAAGTCAGTTATCATGGTTATTTGGTTGTCTGTTTTGATCATATTCACAACACAGTACACCTATACTTAGGGCGATTGAAAAGCTTACTATACACACTTGTCGCTAGTTTATTGAACAGGCGAATTTTAACTGTCACTGATGTTGAGTACTTGACGTTACCCCACATTTCCTGGTATTCTATAAATTATTAGTAATTTGGAAATTCAGTAAAGAGAAAAGTTTAATTAAAAAAACAAAAGAATTGTAAAGCTGTATAAACAATTAAATCATATTAATAGTTAGCGCCCTCTGTATCTGTTCCTGTTTCGGTTCCTCATACAAACGCGATCGACTCTACACTGGCAACGTCCTGGGACTTTTCTTTCACAAATTCCTGCACAACCTGCACACGTGGGTCTTAAAACTCGTCTCAGAGTCTTCCACACATTACCTTCAGCTAAAGGCGGGTTATTCGAACACAGTTGCTGCAATAGAAGAAAAGATTATTTAATAAGAGGTCAACCATATAACTTTAAGGGGTATGTCCTTTTTCTTCCGACCCCCCCCCCCCCAAAAAAAAAAAAAAAACAAACAAACAAAAAAACAAAAAAACAAAAAGAAGCAACAAAAAAAACATGTCAGATAGTGATCCTAAAGCAGGGAACAGGGATAATTTTGTAAACTCCTTAAAGTTATATATAAAAAAAACTCGTCGCCGTTGTACTTATCAGTGAGAGTGTCATAGTAAGATTATTTACTTTTTGCACTTTTAAAGTCAACCCATTTTCTTTTCCTTCAGCACTTTGCTACAGATCACAACAACAGAAAACAAAATTCCCATCACTTTTATCTAACATTAAATGCTGTGTGCTTTCTGCAGAATCTGTGGTAACAGGTTCGTGTCATTTAAGAAGATCTTTGAAGATAATACATGTAAAACGCGTATAAAAAGCCTCAACTCATATTTAAAATTGTAAATATCTTTATATAGGTTTTTGATTTACCAGAAAAGTTAACAGTTCAGTTTTTGAAATATAAAATTGTTACATGTATGCCCATAAAAAAGTTCCAGTTCGTCTTTTTTGTCTATACGGTATGCCGTAATTACGATAAATGTTTGTTTTTCAATGTTGCCTTAGTCGGCATCCGTATATCTACAGCAAAAAATTAAAATAATGCTTAAAAAAGAGAACAGGAAACACAAAAAATACTAACTACAGACGCCCGACTAATCCGAAAACAAAAATTCCCAAAATTAACAACAACGAACATTTTTTCGTGGTCCAGATACTAGGCCAAATTTGTACGAGCACACAACGTGGTGCGGATGAACCAGTTTACCTGCACACAACGTGGTGCGGTAGAACCTGTTTACCTGCACACAAACCTCATTATTTGCCTATCTACATCATATGACGAACAAAAAATACGACGGCATATAGTTTGGAAAGCAGAGTTAAAATTTGCTCGCTATTACATGAAAGTAGCCAGAGGTATTGGTTAAATATGTCCTACTCTTTTAATTATCATAATACGGTATCATTATAAACTTTTTTCCCTGGAATACATGTACAAAATAGGAATAAAACTGCACGCCCCCACCTTTTTTCTGTTGTTTTCTGATCTGATATTACACCAACTTTGAATCAATATAGTAATATACAATGATGGTTCGTTGAAAAGGTGAACAACTAGGGTTTTTTGGGATGACAATTTTGGAAATTTATCGCTTCTAAGGGGCCGCAATTATTTTTCTTTTTTATAAAAAAATTTTAGACAAAAATCTGACGCGATGAAGTTAAAATTATTTTGACGTTTTGTGGCATTTTTTCACCTAGCACGCCACTTTGAATGATGCATACCGTTAAAACGAAGTCGGAGACTAAATTATTTTTACATCATGAAAAAAAAAAATTCTGTACCAGCAGCATATAGTTTTTAAGAACAATCTATGGATTAAAAATTAGAAGTTTTATGATTTTAAGACTAATTTAAGAACGTTTTCCGAAGTTTTTTTGTGCTTTCTATACAAATCTTCACCTATTTTGAAAAAATTCAATTAGTAATATTTCAGAGAAAAAGAAAGATAAATGCATTATGTTTTTGATTTTCAGTTAGAGTTCAACGAGCCAAAATTTTAAGAAAATTGGTAATAAAGCCTATTTACTGTAACTTGACTTTAAGCGCATACGATACAGTTTTTATTCCCACCATGAATTTTTGGCGAACAGAAGCTGTTTTTCACCTAGTCAATTTAAATAATAAATAAAAAATATACCTTCACGTGCTACTTTAAGAGATGAATGGGGTCGACATTTTAGACATTTACTTAAATTTTCATTTATTTGATATTTCCTGTGGACAGACATACCTTTTTTTTTTTTGTTTCAAAAGAAAAACACAAGCGTTTTTTGTAAAAGAATTTGAAATATCTTCTTTACATAAGTAGTGCTTTAAATATGTGTAAACAATATCATGGAAATAGTTCATTTTTATTAAATTTTCATAATTTTAGAAAAAAAGGCATCTCTTGCTGTATATTTATCTAATTTAACAACAAATCATCGTTGATTTGTTCATAAAAATTGGTAAAATTAATCTTCATACATAATCAAGCCAAATGTCATTTTCAAAAAGAGGGGTCCATGCACTCGTTTTCAAGCTAGTGGTGAAAATCAGTCGAGAAATCATCTATATCCGATATGTCACAGATTGACGTCGCGAAAAATAACATTTTACAGTAGCAACGTTATGACCTCTCATGTAAGTTGTAACTGTATCGTATGCCCTTAAATAGTATGTATACTTACTATTGATATGAAGGTCAATACGAAGAAAGCCAACTTGAGATGTAAAGAATTCATGGTGTATTTCTGCAATATGAAAATACTGGTTCAATAAGTCGTTCATATAATGAAATTGGTGCTTCGGACCCTCCTAAATTCGTTTCTAGTGAATGAAAGATGTAAATTTAGAAATTAAAAGACTTAGTGCAGTATGTCATCTCTTTCAAAAGAACCAAATTACACTGAATTTGAAAAATAGTACGTCGATTCTGCCGTAAATTTGCTTGATTTTTTAGTGTGTATTCTTTGTGTGATAAAGTTTATACGTATAATTAAGCATCATAAACGAGAATAAAAGAAGATTTGAAGTATACGTCAATAACACAGAAACCCAACAACACAAAACCAATGAAAAAAAAAACAATAAAACAAAAAAAAAAAAACAAAACAAACGACATATCATTTTCCCCCAAATTGCATATTGAATAAAAGTATGCATTGAAAAGTAATCTTTATCAAACATCCCCCTTTTCGCTAGTGTACAATATAAGTCTTACCTTAGAAATGTTTTACATTCAAATAAAACAGTTAAATGTAATACCGAATATAATTTCAACTGCGCTAGTTACATTTATATATGAGATCAACTGAAGTGGTCACTTAAAAACAAACTTTCCAAAAATGCTATTTATAACAGGAAATACTTTCAAGAAATGATGTTTACTGTACATCATGTAACTGTACTTGTTGCCACCGATGTGGGGTCTCTGATAACTGGCTAATCAGACGTTGATTCTTGCTGCCATCTCTTAACCAAACAATTTCTAACAATTCCCCATTATGTGTATCCGTGTTAACAGTATCACCATAAGACCAAAAACACATAATTTGATTGACTTCCAAGTTCAGAATACATTTAAGAACTACGAAAGCCGACAATTCTGCAACACTTCTTAAATTTCAGATTGTTAATGAAACTCCATCCAAGATCAATTGTTTGCATGTGTATATGTGATAACAGAAAAAGGTTATGCATCCACACTGTCTAGGGTGATTGTGGGGTTACGATCTTGTTCTCTATAGCTCTTTAATACATTTTCTTCTTTTCCTGTTGTATGTCCAAAACATATACATTTTGTATTTTATATCACTCCGTACAACCAAACATGTTTTGTAAGACCCGACGGTTACTATCACGCACCACTGTAAACTTTGGGGCGCTTCGGGAAGTATGTATTTGGATATTATATAAATAATAAATAGCTGAGAGGGTAATAGAGCAGAGCGTTACCCCGAGAAAACATTGTCAACTGAGGAGAAACCAAGGTTGACAATGTGTTTTCGAGGGGTAACAATCTGCTCTATTACCCTCTCAGATATGTGTTATTTAATTTATTATACTGAATGTTCTGTTATTACTGTCGATTAAATTTCAAATTCAAAGTAATAAACTATGACGACGTCTTGTACATAACAACCATCCGTATTTAATAAAGCGCACACTTGATCAAGCGTCTCCGTGAAGGGTAATTGAGTATTTGCCATAGGATAGAGTCGTATTTAATAAAGCGCACACTTGATCAAGCGTCTCCGTAAAGGGCAAAAGAGTATTTGCCATAGGATAGAGTCGTATTTAATAAAGCGCACACTTGATCAAGCGTCTCCATGAAGGGTAATATAGTAAGTTAACACCCTCGTATTAGCCTTTCAAAATATGGCATTTTAACGTGAAGTATAATAAAAGAAGATGTGGTATGAGTGCCAATGAGACAACTCTCCATCCAAGTCACAATTTGTAAAAGTAAACCATTATAGGTCAAAGTACGGCCTTCAACACGGAGCTTTGGCTCACACCGAACAGCAAGCTATGGAGGCAAACTTCCACAAGGACGGATTTTTAGAGTAGATAAAGGGAAGTTCATGACCACATCTTGGTCTCCTGATGGCGGGTTTGTATTAACGTAGTCACAATCGTTCGGGCCTTTAAAATATCCTATATATCTGTTAGGGAAAAGAATGATAACTCTAGTTTTACAAAACTATGTGTATATATAATAAATAATTCAAGGCTTTCATCAGTTCCTTATATTCTCTAAATATATATTACATGTATAAACGGTATGTTCTAATCGTAAGGAGAGTAGTAAAATATAACCACATTATGTAGCTCAAGTTTAAACCTGGAATATAATTTGACATTCTTTTACTTCAGGGGTTGCAACCCATACAAAGCTATACAAAGCTGATCCTAACACATAGCACAGGAAAGGATTACCTTAGCTGTATTTGGCAATAACTTTTCGGGTCCTCAATGCTCTTCAACTTCGTACTTTATTTGGCCTTTTTAACTTTTTTTTTATTTGAACGTCACTGGTGAGTCTTTTGTGGACGAATCCTGGCATCTATGATGAGTTTATTCTTAACCTTAACCTTAACCATACACATACCTATTACTTTCACTAGCTCTAATCCTAAACGCAAATTGAACCAAGGGTCCGATGGTTGGTTCTCGCCCGTCTATTTTGACATTCTCCTTGTAAATGATTAAAAAGATCTAGAATCCAACTTGCAGAAGTAAAAATTAATCGACTACTGAAGATATATAAGCCATTGTTACTGAAAGTTCATTACATAAAAAAAAGAAAATAGTATAGAGGCTTCATTAATGTTACCTATCGTTTCAAAATGACCACAAAAAAGATAGAGCCGATAAACGTACGTCCGAAATCGTAGAATAAGAATACAATAATAAATGAAAACAACACGTTAAATAATTTCATGCGTATGAAGCCCTTTCTGAATTTACCTTAATTAGGAACGCTCAAAGCCGAAAATTTGAGAGCCTAGGATGTATATGAACCGAAACAGTTGTAGAGCTATATGACAAACAAATACCTAAAAAATACCCAAATCCATCTATAATTCCAAAATTTATAAACGGGCAATTTTAGGGAGCTACCATTTGATTTTTATGGGGAGGGGGCTAGGATGAAATTTGAAAAAAATAGTCAGGACAGGAGTTTTGAGTAAAAAAAAAGGCAGGATGAGACACTTGCAAAAAAAAAGTGAGGATGACAATTTAGTTAAAAAAAAGTCAGGATAAACTTTAAAAAAAAAATAAAAATCAAATGGTAGCTCCCTTAGAAAGGTTCGTTATAAATCATGTCAGCACCGACGTACTGACTACTATGCAGATGATACTCTCGGGGACTGGTGGTCCACCAGCAGAGGTATCGACCCAGTGTTGTAAAAAATGAAAACAACACGTTAGATAATTTCGTGCGTTCAAAGAGCTTTTCTGGATTTACCTTCATCAGAAAGAATGATTTGTAGGATCTTTTCAAAACACTGAAAGTGAACTGAATCAAATTACCTAAATGGCTTTAAATTTACGCACGACTGAATTTTGGGGGAAATATAACTGTCGCTTTAGCAGTAATATTTCACATTTAAAATCAATTTTCTATATCAGATCAAGATTTCTCTTTTCAGGGTTACATGGTTTACCTATCAGTGCGCATACAACACAAGTCCTTCAATCACATATAAGAACTTTTTCAAACCACCTGGTAACTGGTAAATGTGTCAGCTTGAAAAATAAATGTAAAAGTTATAGTATAATTTAATGAATGTTGACTTTGTTATAACTTAATATATATATATATATATGACAAGGTTAGAAAAAAAGAATAACTCTCTTTTCTTTTTCTTTTTTCTTTTTATTTTGTAACGACCTTTCCATGCTTATCATGGGAAAAAAAACTTAGATCTATTGCAGTGTTGACAGAGCTCTTCTGTGATATAAAGAGTGCAAATGTTTCTACACATTTGAATTGGTAAAGATCCATATGTTTAAATTTGTATAAAATTAGATTTTATATTCATGGATGTTTAACATTATAATAATAATACTTTATTTCCAAAAGCAATACACCTTTAAGGCATATTACAACATTTACATCATTCGTACAATAGTTGGTAAAATAACCTCATGTGTAAATGTATTTTTAAAATATATTAGCTCTGAACATTTATCATTCTTTAAATTGAAACTGTTCGGTGTGCTGATATAAAGAATAATTCATTTAAAGTATGTGAAAAAAAAACTTTCGAAATGTGTAACAAGTGATTATCTAAATCCCCACTGGAAGGCCTCTGACAGACTGTGTGAGCTTAAAATCATTGTTATCGATAGCCGATGACAAAGAAGTTAAAGGTAAATGATTCAGTATTATTAACAAGATACGAATTGCTGTTGTCCATACTGTCACGGTTTTACCTTTATGATCGCGACAATGTATATAACATATTTGTATAAACTCAAAATTGACATTTGACAAGTCTGAACAATAGTATAAAGGCAAATGCAAGAAACGTGAATACTGCAGAAAATTAATTCCAAGAAGAAAATTACCTTGAACATATGCAAAAAGGTTTAAATAATTTACCATCAACATCGGTGAACTGTTTAACACAGTTTTATTCTTTAATTTGATATCTAACATGCGTTTTATCTCACCTTGACTTTCTGATGAAGAAGAGCAAAGTCGTGTATTAAAATACCATACACTTTCGTTTCCACTAAATTTGGTAAAATGACGTCGAATATATTCGTTCTGATTATGCCTAAACACCTACCACTGAATGAATGTCATGTAACAAACAAATTATGGCAATTCATACGAAGAAAAAATAATTATTGGTAAATTAATTGTATATTCAGGACAAATTGAAACAATCATTTAAATAGGAAAAGAATAAGAAAGCCTCCCAAATAATATTGCCGAAATGGATTAATCCTATGTGTAAAAATCTATCATTCAGACTAAATAAAAACTGAAATATTAAGGGAAAAATTAAATTGCTTACATCATTGAAGAAAAAATGTTTCTTTATAGAATTAAAGAATCTTGTTAATTATCATTTTTTAAATATTGAAAGTAGCTTTAATTATACAAAATCATTTTAATAATATTGGTACTGAAAAACAAATTCAGCATTGTTCAGTACTTTTCATAAAAGATTTCAACAGTAATATGCCTATGAACGGTCCATAATACAGACTTCTCTTAGAAAATGGTTAAAGGGGCACTAGCTACGAGATATATAAAAAATCTAAAGTATGATTTTTTTTGTTCAATCATTAATGATAGTGAAATAGTGAAATAATAATTCGCTTTTAGCATCCAGTTTGGTTCAATTTTGTCAAAATAGCTAAGAAACAATGATGATGAATTATTCACTTGCAAGACTGGCGTCAAAACTAAAATACACACGAAGCAGAGCTACATATTATCGAGCCAATGCCCTGTAAATAGTTTATTTTAGACTTTTTATAATTTGGATAAATGTTTTACATGGTTATAAATCAAATATGAGAATTTGAGTCAAATCGGTGAACATGAATTTGACAGCTAGTGCCCCTTTATAACCCATAGAAACAATGTATACACTGATTATAGAGAGCTATTGATTTGCTTTTTATCTCAACTGCACGCCAAGCGATAACTTTACGGCATTTATATGATAAGGAAAGAAAGACATGGTTTTGGAGCTTTAGGGGCTATTTCAATCTTCAAAATGCGCAAAAAAGTGAAATGATTGTGCCATTATAAGGACATAAGCTTATACAACCCGATGACCATTGATACAAAATAGCGGGGGCTAGGATGAAATTTGAAAAAAAGGCAGGACACGAGTTTTGAGTAAAAAAAAAGGGCAGGACTAGTAACTTGGCAAAAAATAGGCAGGAATACAATTTATGTAAAAAAAAAAAAAGTCAGGAAAAATTTATAATAAAAAAGGCAGGACCAAATAGAGTGAAAAATAAAAAGGCAGGACAGAGATTACAACTAAAAAAAATGCAGGACAAAATTTTCATCCTAGCTCCCCCCATAAAAATCAAATGGCAGCTCCCTAACATTCCGTAATCCATGATGGTCAATATTCATTTATTTCATTATAAAGTAGATTTAGATAAAAGTGAATTCTATTGATTTCTACTAAAACCATTAAATCGTCTTGGTATCCAGATTTCAATAAAACGCAACGTAATTGATTCGAACTGAACAATTTTATTGAGTGGTTGATATCAGGAAACGCTTACCCTGTTGGGGCACCTGGTCTTGCTTTGTTTAGATTTCACGTGTTTCCCTCGGTATTTCACGAGATTTAAACATCGATAAATTGCTGTTGCTTCTATTTGTACTTCAAAAGTAACTACAACAACAAAGTACTGCCATGACACAAAAAAGAGACTTGACAGATACAAGGACGAAAAAAAGTGTTTCGAATCCAGGTATATAATCTGTTTAAAGTAAAGGAAAATTATAATTATTTTCGGATCTTTACTGTTTTTGTGTGTTGTTTTTCTGTAATGCGTATATAATTTTACATTTTCTGGTTTAATATCAACTGTACATGTAACTGTTTATTTATTACTACCACTAAAATGCTAACGAAAGAGGAACCTAATTATGAGACCTTGAGAAATACAATAGGGAAGATTGAGTGCCTCGACTCATGTTAGTTTGTCTGCACAAAATCATGCTGTCATTCTCCATGTTTTCGATTGAAAATTTGATGTGGAAGTCAGTTATCATGGTTATTTGGTTGTCTGTTTTGATCATATTCACAACACAGTACACCTATACTTAGGGCGATTGAAAAGCTTACTATACACACTTGTCGCTAGTTTATTGAACAGGCGAATTTTAACTGTCACTGATGTTGAGTACTTGACGTTACCCCACATTTCCTGGTATTCTATAAATTATTAGTAATTTGGAAATTCAGTAAAGAGAAAAGTTTAATTAAAAAAACAAAAGAATTGTAAAGCTGTATAAACAATTAAATCATATTAATAGTTAGCGCCCTCTGTATCTGTTCCTGTTTCGGTTCCTCATACAAACGCGATCGACTCTACACTGGCAACGTCCTGGGACTTTTCTTTCACAAATTCCTGCACAACCTGCACACGTGGGTCTTAAAACTCGTCTCAGAGTCTTCCACACATTACCTTCAGCTAAAGGCGGGTTATTCGAACACAGTTGCTGCAATAGAAGAAAAGATTATTTAATAAGAGGTCAACCATATAACTTTAAGGGGTATGTCCTTTTTCTTCCGACCCCCCCCCCCCCCCAAAAAAAAAAAAAAAAACAAACAAACAAAAAAACAAAAAAACAAAAAGAAGCAACAAAAAAAACATGTCAGATAGTGATCCTAAAGCAGGGAACAGGGATAATTTTGTAAACTCCTTAAAGTTATATATAAAAAAAACTCGTCGCCGTTGTACTTATCAGTGAGAGTGTCATAGTAAGATTATTTACTTTTTGCACTTTTAAAGTCAACCCATTTTCTTTTCCTTCAGCACTTTGCTACAGATCACAACAACAGAAAACAAAATTCCCATCACTTTTATCTAACATTAAATGCTGTGTGCTTTCTGCAGAATCTGTGGTAACAGGTTCGTGTCATTTAAGAAGATCTTTGAAGATAATACATGTAAAACGCGTATAAAAAGCCTCAACTCATATTTAAAATTGTAAATATCTTTATATAGGTTTTTGATTTACCAGAAAAGTTAACAGTTCAGTTTTTGAAATATAAAATTGTTACATGTATGCCCATAAAAAAGTTCCAGTTCGTCTTTTTTGTCTATACGGTATGCCGTAATTACGATAAATGTTTGTTTTTCAATGTTGCCTTAGTCGGCATCCGTATATCTACAGCAAAAAATTAAAATAATGCTTAAAAAAGAGAACAGGAAACACAAAAAATACTAACTACAGACGCCCGACTAATCCGAAAACAAAAATTCCCAAAATTAACAACAACGAACATTTTTTCGTGGTCCAGATACTAGGCCAAATTTGTACGAGCACACAACGTGGTGCGGATGAACCAGTTTACCTGCACACAACGTGGTGCGGTAGAACCTGTTTACCTGCACACAAACCTCATTATTTGCCTATCTACATCATATGACGAACAAAAAATACGACGGCATATAGTTTGGAAAGCAGAGTTAAAATTTGCTCGCTATTACATGAAAGTAGCCAGAGGTATTGGTTAAATATGTCCTACTCTTTTAATTATCATAATACGGTATCATTATAAACTTTTTTCCCTGGAATACATGTACAAAATAGGAATAAAACTGCACGCCCCCACCTTTTTTCTGTTGTTTTCTGATCTGATATTACACCAACTTTGAATCAATATAGTAATATACAATGATGGTTCGTTGAAAAGGTGAACAACTAGGGTTTTTTGGGATGACAATTTTGGAAATTTATCGCTTCTAAGGGGCCGCAATTATTTTTCTTTTTTATAAAAAAATTTTAGACAAAAATCTGACGCGATGAAGTTAAAATTATTTTGACGTTTTGTGGCATTTTTTCACCTAGCACGCCACTTTGAATGATGCATACCGTTAAAACGAAGTCGGAGACTAAATTATTTTTACATCATGAAAAAAAAAAATTCTGTACCAGCAGCATATAGTTTTTAAGAACAATCTATGGATTAAAAATTAGAAGTTTTATGATTTTAAGACTAATTTAAGAACGTTTTCCGAAGTTTTTTTGTGCTTTCTATACAAATCTTCACCTATT